TCTCTTTCTTATATAATATGGTAAATGAACGGTACTTATATTGATCTTTTCTAGTCCTGACGTCAACTTAAAGCACTTTAAAGTACAGCTTTTCCATCCACACACACATTTAGTGCATCTGTTTACAGCTAGGGGCAATTTGGGGTTCAGTATCTCAGTACACTGAGGCATGCGGACTGGGGAAGACTGGGACCGAACAACTTTTAAAGAATGAAGGTTCATAGTTTTGCTTGTATTTAATTTTGTTTGATGAAATCACACAACACATGTTTAAGCCCACAGATTTTTTTGCTCGTCTCACCTTGTTCGCTCTCGTCCTGACTGACGGCCTCAGGTGTTCCCAGCCTCGTCATCTCCTCCGGGGCCTCAGGGTAGATGATGGCAGTGTCGCTGCGTTGCAGGTACTCTGCGATGGATGCAGGGTGACCTTCCTCCAGTTTACGTTTCAGGAAGTACTCTTCCAGTTTGGAGACTTCAAGTCGCCTCACTGAGCACAGGAAAACATACTCATGAGATATGTTTTCAATATGAACACAACATGAGAATCACATATAAACATGATCATCGGTATAAAAACGTACATTTTTCTGTGAAGATGAAATTAAATTAACCAGAAAGGAGTATGGAGCCTTGTGGGACCTCCACTTTGTGTAGGTACAACTGCAGTCTTTATTACGATGTTTAGGGCTTCAGGAGGAGCTTCAAGCCAAAATTAAGGGATCTATTATATTATATATGTAACAGTGAAGGCTTAATACAGGAAAGTAATAATTCAATATGATGATTATGTATACATGAATATATCTTTTTCTTCAGAATATTAGGTAGTGAAGGCGGAGTGTCTCTACATTGATCTCACCTGTGTTGTTTTCTACAGTTTGCAGTGACGCCTGCGGTCCGACTTGTTCACACTTGTACTTCCTGACGTCTGAGACATGAAACGACACAAAACAGTTTATCATTGATACATGTGCTCAGCTCTGCTCACCCTGGTTACTACAGGTCACTGCACGTTACCCAGGTCACTGCAGGTCACTACAGGTCACTACAGGTCACTGCA